CTTTTAAACTGGAATGGATAGAGTTTCATCATAATTATCTGAGTCTTATTTTATAATTATTGTTAACAATGGAACTCATTTTCTGACTCAGTTTCAAGGCTTACTTTTTCTTTTGCGACTTTATTTTTCTTTTTCAAAATTTTCATGTTTTCTCTTTCTTTTTTAGTTTTTTCATTTAATAACTTTTTCTCCATAGCCATTTGTTTCTTTTTTAATCTTTCTTCTTCTATTTTTGACTTTTTATCTGCAGCTAATTGTTTCTTTCTTAATTTTTCATCATTTATTTGTGACTTTTCTTGCAATTTTGTCTTTCGAATTTGCTGCCACGTTTCAGATGTTACAACCGATGGTAAACGTTCTATTTTGCGCTTGGACGTTTGGACTGGTTGTTTTGGCCATATTAAAACACTTTCAATTGGACTTATGATTTCTGCTGCTATTTTCAAACTAGAACAAGCTGGTTTTGGTTCTATATCCGCTGCAATATTGCAATCAGGTATTTCCATACCGGTTATAATTTGCACATTTTCTAAATTACAAGTTGTTGATAGATTTTTATTACCCTGTTGTATTTCATCAGGTAAAATTGTGGTCTTATATGTTTCAGATGAGGCTCTTTTCCAAAAAAGATACAGCTGGAGATATTCAAGGACACCTTTCCAACCTAAATGTTTGTCAGCTATTTTAAACTGCTTTAAAAAACTTGGATCAATGAAATTTTCAATAAAGTTTATGGGAGAGGAAGCTGATAAAATCACACTTGATTGATTCTCTTCTAAATAAAGAGTCGGAGCCACAGTTGACTCAGATAGTCTTTGAACAATTTTTGTGTAGTCCACACTATTAAATGGAAATATTCCAGTATTTTTAAAACCACTTTTAACATTATTTGCCATAGAAGGATCAATTATAAATGAATTTAATGCTTCTGGTACATTTTCATTGTTTATTTCTTGTCCTTCATGGTCAATGCGCCATTGTTGGCATAAAGATTTCCACTTTGTTTTCATTGGCCCAAAAACTGCCACATCGAGCGGCTGCAAAATATGTGTTGCATTTGGGAACAAAGCAACAAGAATTATTCCATTTTTAGAGCAAAACTCACTAAGTTCGATAGAAAAATGTGACGCATGACCATCAAAAAAAATAATAACTGGTAAAGGAGTTTCTTATTTTATCAAAAATGGATGAAAAAATGTTTGTAGTATACTCAAAAAAACATTCTGCGGTCATCCAACCATTTTCACTTTTTCCAATACCCCATCCTGATGGAGCAGTATTTATAATTCTATTTGGAAGACGAACATATTTAAAAATTGTTAATGGTGGAGCAAAAGTTTCGCTGGCATTTACTGCAAATAAAGTGGCGATGCTTTTTTTATTACTTTGAGCACTTTCTTCGTATGTATTTTTTTTTTGTTCATCAATTAATAAATTAGTTTTTGGTGACAACTGAAAACCACTCTCATCCATATTGAAAACGCGCATTGAATCATTTAAATATTGAGCGTTTTCTCCTAAAAGCTTTGGAATTTCAGTAAACCAATCTCTTATGGCTTTTTCAGTTACTCCTCTTCTAGCTCGGTTTAAGTATTCACCTCGTTTTTGAGATAACTGTTCGTGACGGCGAAGAAATGCATAAAACCAACCTTTTGCAGGACGGTTGTTAGTAAATTGTTTTTTTATATTGTTGGAATTCAAGCATTTTTGCACAGTATCTAATAGCTGTACTACAGACATGGCAAATCCCATTCTGGTGCATGTTAGTAACCACTCGACTAATTTATTTTCAATGTGTTCACCTAGTACCGATTCATAACCGCAGTGTTGTATCTTCAGAGAGGTTTTTCCAGATATTTTATCACGAAGCGTCTGATATGGAATTCCAAATGCCTTGCTTGCTTTGTACACAACCATACCTTTTTTGACAGCATTAATAGCATCTCTTAATTGGCTATCTGTAATCTGTATATTGAAGTCTTCGTTTTGAGCTACAAACTTTTGCCTTATATTTTTGTCTTGCCATTGTAAAAGAATCTAAATGAAATTTTAATTTTTATAGTAAAAAAGAAACAAATTGATTATTTATTGGACATACGATATGTATGGAATGACATTTTTTTAGTTCATACTTATTGTACGTTCAAAAATACTACATTGATACTATAATGATGAGTGGTTTTAATATTATTAATAATGATCCATGTTTTATTTACCTTATTAAATTAATTTAGAAATAAAATCTTATCTTATCTTCCTAAATTATCTTGTTTTATTTGAAACGCTTCTAACAGCTGGTACTTAAAAAAAAAGTATTTTCATAGGCTGACGTAATAAGCCCACTGAGTTTATATAAGTAACTATGTATTGCGGCTTCTATGTATTGTAATAGAAGTGCATGACAATGTTGTTGATAAACAAAATATATATATAAAAAAAATAATTACTACTTAGTGCAAAATTTATGTTAGTATTTAAAACCTACGATAAGTGTCGACTCACGCAAGGTGTGGAAACGACCCTATATAGGATTTCTTTTTCTTGAAACTTTATCCTGATTATAAAAAAACATCTTTCACAGTAAGTATTGTTTTATTAACAAACATTTTTTAGCATATTTTAGGTATTGTAGTTTATCCTCCTCTGGCTAATTGCCATAAACAGGCCACATATCCATGCTGGCAAAGACAAGTTTAGCTCACTAAAGAGCTATTAAAAATAAATAATATTTTCTAAACTTCACTCTTTTATAAATGTTTTTTATAAATTAAGCTTGGCTTTTATATAAAGTAACTACTTACTATTAATGATCAATTCTAAACAATTTATTTAAGTGTATAATACAATTTCTTTTATTTATGTATATATTATGTATGTTTTATTTATGTTTTATTTCAAAATGATTCTAATTAAATTTTTAATAAATAAAAAGTCAATATTTTTTTATAATTTGCAAAGTTTAAAATATTTGAAACAATTCTTTTTTGTAAAAACAAAAGAAATAATTAAATCATTGAGTTAAAATAGAAATGTTCTTTTTTTTTAAGCAGTTTATTTAAAATGTTTAAAATATTTTTGCAAATGTGCCAGACCCTGAATCAGCAGTTAATAAAGATCAGTATGACCTAATTACAAAAATAAGGTGGGCAAAGGGTTTAGATTTTTACAGTTAGTGGTAAAAAACGGCTTTTCAATTGTCTGTGATATTTAAACTGACAAAATTAAGGTTAGATAATAACAAAATGCATTAATTTAATTGTGGAAACTAATTAGGATTAAAAAACCAAAAACGTAAATTAAAAGACTACAATGTTTTGAAAAACATTCAGAATGTTTTGAAAAACATTCTGAATGTTTTGAAAAACATTCTGAATGTTTTGAAAAACATTTTGAATGTTTTTATTTTTTTAATAAAAACATTCTAAATGTTTTGATTTTTATTTTTGTACTGTAAAACATGCACGGAGTGTTGCTACATCGACTATTTTATAGCCTGACTTGCAATGCTAAATAGAATATTAGCATTTATTAGAATAAATGCTAATAGAGCTAGTATTGCTTTAGGTATTAGCTGAAACTTCACTTTAGAAAATACTACATACTTTTTGAAATTTGTATTAAAAGTGTTTATATTTAAATAATTAATTTTGATCACACTTCTCATTTTTTTCTTTTATCAAGCTCTTTTTCAAACTTGTCTAATTCTTTATCAGAATTAGATTTACCTAAAACTTAATAAAGTGCTGTAGAAGATTCAACTTATTTTTATTTCTTGATTCCAAAAATATAACTTACTGTTTTAACTTTTTTTTATTTCTTGACTCCAAAAATTTAACTTACTGTTTTACTTTTGGCATCAAGTTGTTTCCTACTGTTGTTTTTAAAAATTGCTTTGCTCATATATCTGATTCTCTTCTAACAATATTATACAACTAGCATCAACATAAACTACGGCTAGAAATATATTATGAATTTCTTAGTTTCTTCACAACATATCAGATCTTTGCCAAAAGTTGGGTAGTGTATGTTTCTTTAAAAGCATCACAATTAGTTAGCTGTAGAGTGTAACAATGCAGCAAATCTCCTCAATCTATTTACACCCTTCTTGAGGTACTTAGGATCGATTTTTTTCCTAAATTGCTGCACTTATTTTCTCAATCATATCCTGTCATAAATGATCCTCATGTTCCTTATCCTGTATAGCTTCATTTATAAAATTTTCATCATCTGAATTTTTATTCTACAGTGTGATTGTCTTTATGTTTTAAAGTAACTTTTAAAGTATCATATGCAGCAACATATACTAGATGAAATATTTCAAATATATACATCAACTCAAGTATAATTTAGAAAATATTAAATTTCTAAGTGCTTCAAGATGAGCATAAAATACTTAACACTGTGCATATAATATCAATAACAAAGTATCAAATGCTTTATTTATAACTTCATAGTACTTAGGAATCCCTTTCACAAAAAATACTCATCTTTGATTTTCCAAATTATAAATGAGAGGAGTAAGCTTAGAGCTGGTTCCAGAGTTAAATTTTAACAGTTGAATATTTTGCAATGGTTAATGACATAAGAATTAAGCATATGATTGTGAGACAATTTTAATAAAATTTTTACTTTAACTTATCCAAACTTAGCTAAAACTTTACTGTGAGACAACTGTTTGACAACTTTAACAAAATGTTTATAAAATAATTAGCAACTCTTTAAATTTAATTTTTATGTGAGCAACTTTATAGTTTTAGTTTATAATACTATAAATATCATAAATATTAATTTCCAATTGATAAACAGAACACTAAAAACAGAGCAATCAAAACATAACAATAAAAGCAATGAAAGTGAAACTTTTGTAATTAAAGATAACATGAAATAAAGATTTTTTAAAATTTAAACTTTTTCTAAAATTTATAAAGAGAAATTAATAATTATAGAAATTAAAGAAGAATTAATAGGAATTAAAGAAGAATTATAACCTTAATTAATACCTTGAGCATTTTAATAGCAACATCAATGCGTTTTTCATTTTTAAGTAAAGTTCCCTTATATACATCTGCAAACTTTCCACCGCCTAAAAAATTTCCAACTTCAAGATTTTTGTTGTTAAGTTCATTTGCAAATTCTTGTACAGCATCATCAACACAATCATATGTGTTAGGATCGATATATAATCTTCCACGATTTAGAAAATGATTTCCCTCTATTCTTACTGAAACATTAAAAAAGTTATTTGCTTTAGCATTGAAAGAAATTTCTAATGTAATTAAAAATAGGAGAATAAAAGAAAACTGTAAAAATATAAAACTTGGATAAAAATATAACTTATAACTGTGTATATATATATATATATATATATATATATATATATATATATATATATATATATATATATATATATATATATATATATATATATATATATATATATATATATATATATATATAACTTGAATAAGAATAAAACTTGTAACTGTAAATATATATAACTTAGATAAGAATAAAAAAAGATTTATTAAATCTTTTTAATTTATAATTTTACTAATTTTTTCTAAGTTAAATGGAACTTTCAATAAATAAATTTTAACTAGTGTTATTGAGAGTATATGAATATAAGAAAAACACTTTTTTTAATGTCAACTTGATACTTTATTTTTTTTGCATTACTTTATCTAATTTCATTGCTGAAAGAAACAGCACACCGATTATTTAAATTATTATTATTATTTTTTATTTAAATTGATTTTAATTTCCTATTTTGCTAGTTTTGCTTTTTTTGTTTTTTTAGTTTGAGTTAAACACTTATGTGTCATACAAAACAAAAAATGGCATTTCCTGGGAAGGCTTGTTATTGCATTAAAATTTAGTATTTTTTTCAAGCATTTTGTTTTTACTGTATTTTTTTTAACATTTGTATTAACTTATATGTATTTTTTTATTCCTATAAATTATTTAGTTTAACATGAATCAAAAAAGAAAGGGTGGGGCTGAGAAAGAAGATATTAAAAAACTAAAAAAGTTGAAGTAAAAAACTAAAAAACTTCTACACAAGAATGAGTGAAATTAACAACTTATTTTTATAAAAATACAGTCAGAAACAAAATGAAAACATGAGCAGGTCTTCAATAGAACTCAGATAAGAACTATCATAAGTAATTTTTCATGACAACATGTCAACATCTTTTGAAGATGATATTTCCTTTGACTTATTGGCAGAAAATCCAGGCAGTTTTCACAAACTTCATTGGAAAAAAATTTCTGACGAATTATCATCTACATCTTTTATTGCGACTATTATATATTAATTATATATTAATTAATAATATATATATAATATATATTAATTAATTTTCAACAAAACAACATTAAATAGTTAAAGAAGGCTCAAAAATGATGTCAGGTGTTAAGAACGCTTATATTTTTGACATTGAAAATGTCGCTACGTTTACTATGAACATAAGGACTATTGAAAAAAATAAAATAAAGATTTCGCCTGAAATCAAATTTCATCACAAAACATATTATACCAACAGATTGAAAATTTTCAATCAAATGGACGAGCGAATGTTAATTGGGCATGTTGTTCTGTTGTGCAGCAAGGTTTGTTTTGCGACCCAATTGCATTTTTTTTAATTTTTGCTTTGTTTTTAAAAAAAAGAAATGTTTAGAGATCTTAATAATTTTTAATTATTAAAAATTTTTAATTCTTAAACAATAAAAAAAAATAAGCTTAAAGAAAAATTAGACTATCACAAAAATAGAGTCTATCAAAAACGTTGATTGGAAAAATATTATATTATTCAATCAACACTTGAAAATGTTTGTGTTAGAGTTGACAGACAACGAAGTAATGAACTTGCTGAACAAATCAAATGCAATACACAAATTTGAAAGCTGTTAAATATGGTGAAAAAAAATGTACCTCTACATGGTACGCTTAAAAATATAAATAAACTTGAAAATAATGGTATATATGTGTCAATAATAACGAATATGCTGAATGGCTACATGAGTGGACTGCTGAAGACAAACGTCAAGTACTGTCTTTTCTGAAAGCATTTAGGAGTTTTGATTTTGTAATATCACTAGTTACTCAACAGCGAACTTTGTAGTTTCTTTGTGAGCCTATAGTTAAGTTGCAGGTAAAATCTAGTGACATTTCAGACCTTGCGATAAAGCGTCGGGCAATGTGAATTTTACGTAGTCCAAGAGCGATTTTGCGTGTAGCTAGGGCTATTTGCGTTGAGCAAAAAATTTTTTGTTTGAGTATATTTAAAGATATTTTTGAGTGGAATTTTAATGAAGTAATTTACGATTATTTTAACATTTAATAAAGTATTTTAAAAACCGCACACAGTTGATATAAAAGTTTGAATTACAAAAAAATTAAACATACTCATTATTTACAAGTAGAAAAAATTCAGATTAAAAAAAAAGTTTAAAATTTTTCAAGCTAACATTTTAATAAAATTATTCAGCAATAGCAAAGTTGTCGATAAAATTGAACAAAAATACTTTCTTTTAGTTTTAGATTTTCAACTTAAATAATTACTTTATGGGGGTTTGTTAGGTTTTAAAATTATTCCATAGATTTAAAAATGTTTATTAACTGTTAGACCTATTTAAAATATTTAAGAGTAATTTTGAGGAAACATTTTAAAAATTGGTAAGCGCAAATTAAAAAAATAAAAGGATTAATATTAAAACGTATTCTACTTGATTCAATAAAAAAGTACAGCTATTAAAATTTTTGTAAAAAATAACTCGAAGAAAATTACTTAAATAATAACAATCGCTTTTTCGTTAAAAGTTACCGAAACTCAACGAAGCGTGCTCAAGAACAGCTGCTTAAAAATAGAACGTCAATAGTTTTTCGAATAATTTTTAAGAATAATTTTTTCGCTGAAATATGTCTTTTATACCTATAAGATTTTTATTCTAACATTTTATTTTATTTTACCAAAAATAAAATTCCTTGTAAACATTAAAAATCTATTCAAAATGTTCGTTAAAGTTTTTTAGTAATACAAGTGATTGTGCTTATCAACCGCTTTATGAAAATAAATAAAAATAAATAAATAAAAAAATATATAAAATCGCTACTAAAAATATTAGCTATTGCATAGTTTTTAATCGTACAATATTAAAATTTCCAATTTATTACTCGCTGACTTTTTAATAAGAAAAAATAATTATTTGAAAAACTTTAAATTACATATTTGAGAAAATCAAATATAAGCATATTTTATAATCTTTTTTAGATGTTTAGTTATAATGTTTTTTATTCGTTTAGTAGACAAAACGTGTCAAACGTCGAGAAAATAAACTAATGTTTTTACATTTTAAAAAACGAAACATTTCAAAACATTTTTAAACTATAACATTTCTACTTTAATGATTTAAACTAGTTTTGCAGTAATTAAGTAAATTGGTGCAGTTAATGTCAATAAATATGAAAAGCAAATAAAAAGAATTTAATGACGTCAAAAATCATGTCGTGCTTATGCATCGCGCAGTTTTTATTCATCACAAGGCCTGACATTTATATGCCTTTAAATGTGTTAAAACTGTCATATCAGAAATAGAAATCATGAGAATAGACGCAATTATGTTTGCTGAATGAATATATAAGCATGCATCAATTGTTGCCCAAAAATCAAATGTAACACCAAATGTAAAGCCGATTATTTGATTGACAATTGAGCCACACTTTTTGCCACATAATTATTTCTTCATGAAGGAAATTAGAGTTAGGAAGAACACTTTTAGAATGCATTGTAACCTTTTGTATCATTTCAGATAGCTCCACTGAAATTTTCATGCAGATAATATATATGGTACAAAACTTAACAATAACTTAATCATATCTGATGATTTAAATTTATTTTTAAATTCAACTAATACATGATCTATAAATGGAATGAGGAGAGACCTTTTGAAATATTCTTCAAATGTTTCAAAAGGTGAATTTGCTTCATGATTAAGTTATTGTTAAGTTTTAACAATCTCATGAAGCAAATTCACCCTTTGAAACGTTTGAAGAATATTTCAAAAGGTCTCTCCTCATTCCATTTATAGATCATGTATTAGTTGAATTTAAAAATAAATTTAAATCATCAGATATGATTAAGTTATTGTTAAGTTTTGTACCATATATATTATCTGCATGAAAATTTCAGTGGAGCTATCTGAAATGATACAAAAGGTTACAATGCATTCTAAAAGTGATCTTCCTAACTCTAATTTCCTTCATGAAGAAATAATTATGTGGCAAAAAGTGTGGCTCAATTGTCAATCAGATAATCGACATTCTAATGCTGCTAGTGCTCTTTAATATGAGCCAGATAAGTTTCTTAATATTTGCATTGCTCTATCCTTTGGAGGTTTTTTTCCAGTCACTACCGCAAAATGTGAAAGGACAGGAAGTGTAAACCAATGCCTTTATTTGTACACAAGAGCAGGAACAACTTTCTGAGTTGGCTTTAATGCAAATCCTCTATAACTTTGATTTAGATGTTTGAATATAACTTTGATTTAGATGTGGTCATTAAAATATTTGAAAAATTACATCTGAGAAGAATTTGTTTCCTCTCCTTTAGAAGATTAACATTTGTTATAATTAATTGAAACTTATCATTGAGACCAAATGTTTTTTGTTTATTTTTTTTTCATCAGTTAAATTATTTATAAAAATAACCTTTAAAATTTGTTTAAAAAATCCACAGTGAAAAATTGCCATCCTACTAAAAAAAATCTGTTTATGGGCCTGTTAAAGGGACTACCAAGTCTCGAGACATGTTGTGTCATATTAAAGAGAATGTTAAAAAAAACGTCTGAGCAAATTTTTGATTAAAACTAATTAATAAATGTATACCAAGAAAAACAAATATTGTTGTTTTAGTCAAAGCTTGTCTTCTCCATTTTCTGTGGTATTTGGAGTCTGTAAAATAAACGCAATTTTGCCAAGCGCATTATACAGACTTGATAATTTATTTAATTGCGTTTAATTCATAGAAGTTTTAGTACAGAAGTTTTAGTTCATTTTTTTTTTGTTTGAGATTTTTTCAAAAATTTGAATATTATTTTGTTTTAATGAAAAAAGCAAAATTTTTATGTCTTTATTAAAAAGACTAAAATTTTGCTCTTTTAAAAAAAGTAAAATTTTACTTTTTTAAAATTAAAATTGACTTTAAGCTAAACATATTTAATGCAAATTTAATATTAAAATTCAAGCATTAAACATAATATGCATTAAAATACTTACCATTTCCATCTTCCATTCTGACAGCTTGTAAGTATAAAGGATGCTTTTTTCTCCAAACAATTAAAACAACAACCATAACTATAGCAATTATTCCAATTGCACCACCAACTGTACCAAATACAGAAAAGAGTTTACTTTGACCTTTTAAAAAAATAAGTTTTTTGTAAACAAATCCATTGAGCCGGTTTCCATCATCATCAATAAAATAACCAGCAATCTATAAGAAAAATTATAAGTAATTGATTGAAGAAAATATGATCATGTCAACCAATTTATTATTTTACTGGTTTATTATTTCTCTGTTCTTTAAGGACATTGAGCACTCTATTTGTATAATACACTAACACTGTATTTTTCTGCTATTTTTTAAGCAACTTTTTAGTTTTTTTTTGCATAAATTTTGGAGTATTTTTTTTATTCTAGTATATTTTAGTATATGATCATTATAAGCACAAATGCATGTATAAAAAGATTTATAGTTATTTACTTTTTATTAAAAACTTACTTTGTTTTAAATAAAAAAGTTAAATTATAAGTTCATTATAAATCTATGCATATGGGAATGTTTATTTGTCATGTTGTACTTTCTAACAACTGTAATATTTTCATTATATACTCTTAACAACATGACAAATAAACAACTTTTCTAATATTTTCATTATATACTCTTATTAGAAATAGAAACTATTTTTATCCTACAATTTAAATTTGAATAATGTAAATATATTAGTATATAATACCATACTAATTTAATATCAGACTTCAAATGCTCAAAGAATTAAGCAATCTATTAAAAATATTTATTTCTTTGAACATTTGTATATTGTAGAGCAATTTAGTCTTACATTTATCAAAGAAATATATATCAGTAGTATCCCTTATAAAAAAAGCCCTATAGAGTACTTAATTTCAAGGAAAATTTAAAAATTTTGAATTAGTTTCCCAGATCATTTTTATCTGATGATTTGTAATTTATTTATTCATAATTTAATCTGCATTTTTTTAGATAATTTTATATTGAACTATATTAGGACACTTGCAAAATTTTTCAACATATTTTGTTGTTCAAGGTCACTTTTTAGACATAATATTTTTGCAAAAGGAACATTTAACCTTTTCCATTATGCTAATTTGAATTGCTGGTTTAAAAACATGGGCAACTAAGGTTTTATTTCTGCCTCCTGCTGATGCTGAGGTTCAGGTTATTGCTTTTAGGTTTTTGAAGATGAAAAATTACATAAATATAATTTTTATTTCGGCCGGAACTTTATTAACAATTAAGGCAGTTCTGGTTTCAATGGGACTTCAAAATTTCCAATACAGTACATCTCTAATTTAAAGTGCACTTACTATCTGGTGGTCTTGGTAATATTAACACCTTTGCAACATTTTTAAAACCTCTGTTTACAAAAAAATATTGGGTGCCCAAATATCTATGCGAATAATAAGTAATGATTCCTAAAAATTATTTGTTTGGAAAAACATTTGATACAAAACAATTTTTTTTTTAAACATTCTAATTTTTGCTTAAGATGCACACACTACCGAAATTTACCCTACTTCAATCAAGCAACTTTCCTGACCAACAATAACAATAGCACTAAACATCATTAATATTGTATTTAATATTATTGTTTTGAACTTAATACATAATACATTGATTCAAATTAAATAAAAAAACTTTCAAAATGAATAAAATGTAATTTCTGCAAGAGCTACTTTAGTTTTGTTTATTTTTTTCAATTCCTTTAAAAAAACCTTTGAGTGTAGCAATTTAGTATTTTTTACTTTTTCAGATATATGAACTTTTTATCTTTTTTGAGATGTTTACTATTGTTAGTATTTAAATCTTTTTCAAGGTTAAAAAAATATTTCAACATTAACTTTTGTAAGCTGTTGCTAGGCTACTCTAAGCCACAAAACAAAATTACATTGATGTGAAAATATTTTAAACTTTTAGATTTTATTATTCAACTTTATGCCACAAGTTATTTATTCGTATTTAAATATATGTATATATATATTTTTGTTAATTCACCTCCTCAAGGCGGAAAAGGCTATTACAGACGAGGAGGCTACTTTATTGTGATTATAATATATATATATATATATATATATATATATATATATATATATATATATATATATATATATATATATATATATATATATATATATATATATATACATATATATATATATATATATATATATATATATATATATATATATATATATATATATATATATATATATATAATATATATATAAATTATATTAGTGTATTCTACAAATAGAGTACTCAATGTTTTTAATGAACACAGCAATAAAAATTAGTAAAAATCTTGTTTATCAAAAAATATTATTTACAAGTGCATTGTTGCCTCGTGAAGTAACCCTGATAAACAATATATTGGCTTAACCAAGGGCAAATGGAAAAAAGATTATGCCAAACCACAAACAATTTTTTAAACATAAAAAATACTCAAAGGAGACTATGCTGTCAAAATATATTTGACAACTAAAAGAAAAAAATATTAATTTCAAATTAAACTGGTCTATTCTAAAAACTGCACCTGCCTATAATAACATTTCCATAAAATGTATACTATGTTTACAAGAAAAATTTGAAATTATTACTCATTTGGATCAAGAATATTTACTCAACAAATCTGAATCAATTTCTAAATGCAGACATGAAAATAAGTACCTTTTAAAAAATTATAAAAACAAATGACTAGACTAAAACTTGTCTTAATTCTAAAGAAAGCTTTTTATTATTAATTTTTTAATTTTAATAAAGTTGATGCAACTTCTTGGTTGCAAAATAACTACAGTTATTACATAACTAATTATAACAATACCCAACTTCCTGTGAAATATTTTTTCTATTTGAATTTTTTGAGGTTAAGTCATTTTTCCTGATGAGCCTATTGATGGCAAAACAACTTGTTGAAGAAAATTAGATAAGTGTTTTTACTAATTTATATTTATATATATATATATATATATATATATATATATATATATACATACATATATATATATATATATATATATATATATATATATATATATATATATATATATATATATATATATATATATATATATATATATATATATATATATATCAGGGTGTAAACTAGCTTTGTAAAAGTTTAATAATAATTCTAACATTATTAAAAAATTAATTATTATTAAAAACTAATAGAAAAATAGCATAAGAAATTCTAATTTAAATATTGTGTAAAACTTGAAATAAAATAGCCTTTATTGGTATAACTATGCGATTGCATTACTCCAAAAATGTCTCTTGGAAAAAAATTCTTAAGAATTGGGATTTTCCAAGCAATTTTGAGGATTTTCTCGGCAACTTGTTTCTAAAATTCATTTCTCAAAATTTGCAAATAATTCTTCGCAATGCAAAGAATTATTTGCAAATAACTTATTTAATAAGTTATTTAACTTTTCAGCCAAGACTTAGTTTAAGTCTTACTGCAAACTCTACTTCAATTAATAAATGTGGTTCATAAACAAATATTGAGAAGCTATTTAGGTCAGACGTTTTAGAAATTTTATCAATTATATTATGGTAAATCTTTTAGTTATTATTTTTCTCATTTTGTTTGGTATTTTATACCAAACAAAAAGGAGATTGCTAAAATCTTTTTTTACTTATACTAGAAACTTACTTAACAAGGAAAAAAAGATTTTTTTAATTTACTGCTTGCTTTTTTTAAAAAGCAAATTTTATATGTTTAATAACAAAAATGTTTTTTTTATTACAACAAACTGGTACTAGAAATTTTTAAAACAAGAAAACTAGATTCACTGCTTGCTTAAATTTAAAAAGTAAAAGCAAACTTAAATGTTTAAGTGAACCATACTCAGTGTAGTTAAGGTGATTTACAAATGATTTGAATTCTTTTATTTGAAATCAGCATAATAGTGTTTGGACATAGTGTATTATGTCCAAACAAAAGCTTTAGATCAGGGGTGGCCAGAATTTTTTGTATACAAGCAAAAAAAATTAAAATACAATTTTGCTGGCAAAAAAATATTTCTACGAAAATATAGGTGATTAATAACTATTATAATTATTCATACTAAAGCTATATATCTATTAAGAGTGGTGAACTTGACCGTTTGAAACTAGTTTTTTGATGTCTGGATTGATTTTTGAGGAAGATAGAAGTATCACATTACCAATATGGTTGCCTCCTAAATATTCAAATTATTTAACGGGCATTTAAAAAAGTCTCTGCGGACATTTTTTTGCCCACGGGCAGTGGTTTGCCCACCATTGCTTTAGATGCCATAATTTTTTTTTTCAGATTTTTTTAATATTTGAAGAAACTTTTCTTTTTTTATATAATTTTCAAAACCTTTTTACTACTCTTAATTGTGAATGTAAAGAACACCATTTTGGAGCCTTTAGATCACTTTTGCTCATCGGCGTTAACATGTATTTAGTTAAAATCTTTTGAAAAATTTCTTTAATTTACTATAGATCCTAGTTCTTATCGGTTCAGACATATATTAACTATGTATAGTTGTCAAAATACAATAATTCCGACCAAGAAAGATACTTATAAATAAAATACTTATAAATAAGATTAAAAAAAAAACAACTAGAATTTCGACCAAGAAAGAGCTTATAAATATAATAAAGCACCAATAAACAACCAGAACAGATCACATTATTAAACTGTGATGTTCATTTTACCTAAAAAAAACATGCATTAGATAGAGGTGGAGAGGTTAAGGCCATCGCTCTTGACATTTCTAAAGCTTTTGATAAAGTTTTTTCTTCTTTTGGTGTATCTGGTAAGATATTTAAGATTGATTAAGATTTAAGAATCGTAGTATAAAAGTTGTTCTCAATGGACAGCACTCTTCTTCATATCCTGTATGTTTAGGGGTTCCCCAAGGTTCGATCCTTGGCTGTATACTCTTTTGATTTACATTAACAATCTTCCAGATATTCTCACATCTAAGGTGGCATTGTTCCCTGATGACACTACCATTTATTCTTGTCATGATAAGAAGCCAATACTCTCTGATTGCTTGGGGGGGGGGGACATTTGAGCTTGAAAAGGATCTCACTTCTGCTACAGCATAGGCTCACAGTGGCTGGTGAACTTTAATTCTGATAAAAGTCAATTTTTTCTGCGAATCGTTATCACAATAATTTAGATCTTCCTATATTTATGA